TTGTCAGAATCATCCTTGGGGTAAGATCAGGACCTCAGACTGTCCAAGGCTTAGAGGCCTCCTGAATATCCCTAAGTCCTCTTGTTCATACGCACCACCCCCAAATTTGAGGGCCTCTATGAGGCAGCACTCCTTTTTTTTCTTTAATTTTTAAAATCTTCTTTTAACTTTCAAGAAAAATTATTTATTTGAGAGAGAGAGTGAGCACAAGCAGGGTGAACAGCAGGCAGAGGGAGAAGCAGGCTCCCTGCTGAGCAAGGAGTCCCATGCAGGACTCAATCCAAGGACCCTGGGATCATGACCTGAGCTGCAGGCAACCACTTAACCAGTTGAGCCACCCAGGCATCCCCAAGGCAGCACTCCTCGCCTACCTTAGGTATTAGCATTCACTCCCTGATGATCTTGCAGTTTCTGCCCCACCACAGGGCAGCTAGAGTCTCGAGCCCAATCTCTCATGCCAAGTGTGCCACAGTGGGCTTGCCCCATGTCAGGGCAGCACTCGCCCCATGTCAGGGCATATCCCCAGCTTGTTGGCTTTTGCACAGCCCCCACATTGACCTGTTCCCCAATCTCATCTCTGGCACCCCACACTTAGCAGCCCCCTACCCCATATCCTGAGCGCCCTCTATTTCCTATGGTTCTGCATGGTGATCTGGCAACCTCCTCGTGACGGCACTGTAGTCACCCCCACGTTTTCTGGGGAACCTGGGCACAGGGGTTCACTGACGCAGATGGGTCCCTGAGCAGGACTCAAACTCTGCCCTGGAGACTATGGGGCCTTGGCCAGGCCTGGCAGGCCTCTCCCCTCCCACTGCTACCCCTCCGCTGGTAAGCCCAGCATAGCCTAGCCAGCCTGCCAGGATTCAAGTCTCTGTTTTGCCACTCACCAGCTGGTAGCCTTGGGGGAGTTCCTAACCTCTCAAAACCTCAGTTTTCCCAACTGTCAAATGGAGACGATGCACAGAGGAACTTCCTCCTGAAGCAGTTGTGAAGAAAAGAAATAAATGTGTGTGAAGCCAGAGCCATGGCACTATCTGCCTGGCTAAGGGGGCTGGAGCTGCAAGGTCAGCAAGTGTGTGGAATGGGGCCTGGTTTTGGAGGCCAAGGGCACCAGACCCCATACACCATCTGTCCACTGATGGCGCCTCTCCTGTGGCAGTGACCACAGTCACACTGTAGAAACCACACACGTGGCCACAGAGGGATGGTCTGAGCAGTACCACTCGTCCCCATCAAAGTCTGGGCCCCACACCCACCCGCAGAGGAATGACCCATGCAGACCCTGGTCCTGCCCCTGGGTGAGACTCTGCCTTCTGAAGTTGTACACCTGTAAGATGAGGGGGAGTTGTGCTTGTCCCTCTGGGCAGGGTGGGTCATAAGGACTTTCTCTGAAGGCTGGATCTGCCTGATGCAGGTGACTGTCACTGCTGTCTTTTTTGTCATCCTTACAGGAGAGCAAGGCCCAGAAAGGGGAGAAGTGGCCAAAACCAGAAGCCAACAGGAGCCGCCAAAGGAGCACTAATAGGACAGAGTTGATGGGCCCTGATGTGTTTGTTTAATGATAGATGTGACAGGGCTTCCCTGGAAAGTGTCTTTCATTCATTTCCTACATAGTCACTGAGTCCCGGTTTGCCGCAGGTACAAGCTCTACCTGAACACAGCGCAAAGATGGGAACAATCAGGACGGTGATCCTAGAGGTAACTAGGATCCAGAATTTCTGTGCCTGATCACCTCTGAGTCCAGGAAGGCTGGTCAGGGAGGGCTTCCTGGAGGAAGGGACACAACACCAGGGTGTGTCATGATTTAGAGGGACCCAGGAAGTTCTCATGATATAATGACAGGTGGGAAAAAGAAAATATCATAAAATATAATTTCAGATACATCTTATGAAGTGTGGGGAGAGGGGAGGGAGCTAGGAGACAGAGGAGACTGAGCCCCCAAAGACAGTCAAGCTACCTATGGGGCAGTCGCGAGTGATTGGGATTTTCCTTCTTGGGGAGGTTACTCAGGGTGATTCAATTCCCACCACAAAAGTCACTCCGCCGCCCAGGATTCAAAGACTTAGGAAAGAAAAAACAGAAACAAGAATCAGACCCGGTGCGCAGCCCAACTTGGCACCCCTCTAGGGTCCAGAGAATCCCCGGGAACCCAGACCCCGCTGAGGCCGTCCACGGCCAGAAGGGCCACCCAATACCTCCCCACACCCCACGAACCGCATGGGGATTCCGAGGCCACCGGCCCAGCCCCTGACCCGGGACCGACCCCCTTCTACCAGCCCGGACCCGGCGGGGCGGTGCTGGGCGCCGCGGGCTGCCCGGCCGCAGTGTCGCCGCCGCGCCGGCCCCCCCCCCCCCCCCCCCCCCCCCCCCCCCCCCGCGGCCGCGGCCCCGAGCGGCTCCACAGCGGAGGCCCACGCCGAGCCCAGGTGAGCGCCCGCCCCAGGGACCCTAGCCCCCAGGACCCTGACCCCGACCCCGCCACCCCGGCTCGGCTACCGGGTCCCGGCCCCGCTGCCTCCGCGCCCGGGGCCAGCGGGCGCGCTCGCAGGTCTCGGACCCTGGGCCGGCGCGGTGGGGGCTGGGGCAGACAGCGGGAGAAGGAGAGAGACAAGCTGGGGCCGAAGCGCCTCTCTTCCTTGTCCCCTCCCTGGCCAGGGCCCTTCCCCGCTACCCCGGCGTCCCACTGTGTGCCCGTCCCCCTTCCGGGACCCCCCGGTGTGGTGAGGACCTCTGGACGGGCGGGAAAGCGGCTAGAAAGGTCTTCCCAGATAGAGGGGACTGCACGTGCAAAGGCAGGGAGAGTTCGCGGGAGGCTTGCGTCCGTGCCCTGCCAGTGAGCAGGTGAGGGCCGGCACCCCTCTAACTTGATTGCTATCCTGAAGAAAACTGAAAGCCACTGAGGGTCCCAAGTGAACAGCACCTTCCCCCCAATCCCTTTTCTGCCCAGCCTGCACTGGCCTAGGGGGACCGTGTCCTGGTGAATGAGGACACATGCTCCTGGTGGGAAAGTTAGAACTTTTCAGCACTGGGTTAATTTGTGGGAAAGGGGCAGCACTCCACAAAATCTTGGGGATGCCTCCTGCTGCTCCACAAGCAAGAACCTTTGCCTTTGAGGTAGCAGGGCTCCCAGCCTGCCTGCACACAGGAGGCCTGGAGAAGGTTCGATCCCCAGCAAATCTCTTTCCAGGCCCAAGGCCCTGGAGGGTCTAGGACCCCCAGAAACCCCAGGGAGGGAGAAACCGCCCAGACAGGGACTGGACAGCAAGTGGAGGTCCCACCTTCTCAGACATCTGTGGCCCAGCAGGTGAAACCTGAGGCCAGGCAGGAAGGAGGTGGGCCCAGCTGAGCCCGAGGAGAAGCCAGGATCTGGGGAGGGCCCCCTTGTGCCCAGGGAGGGGCCAGGCAGGGCAGGTGGTAGCTCAGTCTTACTGATCTGCCTTGGTGATGAGTGGGGGACCAAGTACCTGTATGCCCCATGTGGCCAGTGACCTTTGGCTGCCACCGCCTCTCGAACTGTAAGTGTGCGCCACTAGGGCTGGTAAGATCAGATGCCAGGCCGTAGATGGCCCTTCCCAACTTTTCCTCCTCGGCCCCCTTGCTCTCAGGCACCCACTCAAAGCCTTTGCTAGGATCTGGGCAAGACCAGGTAGGCCTCAGCCCCACCTCAAGTTAGACTTCAGGAAGAACTTCCAGGGGAAATAGGGGGGATGACAGTGGAATGGACTGGGGGGAGGTCATTTGTAAACAGGGCTGCTACACCTTTGTCCCAGGACTTCCAAAGTCCGGTCTGTAAGCCGAATCTTCCAGGAGGCCGCCCCTGTGGCCTTGAGGACTCTGATCTGGTGACCTCTCGCCCAGCCCTGTGGCTTGCAGGGAGATATGGGGGCTTCCTGGGTCCCTGCCCATCTTGAAACTAACCAAGGCAGGTGGGAGGTGGGAGGTCACCTGGATGCCCCTTCCTGCTGCTTGACCTTGGCAAGCCCTTGGCCTCTCAGTTTCTCCAACTGCTGTTGGATGGCATCTCAGCACCACAGGCCTGGAGAGCATTTGCGAAGTGGGGGGCCTGTGTACAGGGTGGGAGCTCATGGCTGCTGGGCATGGGCTGTGTGCCTGGGCTCCCTTTCCCCCAACCCCATCAGGCCTGGGCTAGCCGCCTACTTCTGTTCACCGTGGAGCTGGGTTTCCCTGGGGACCAGCGGACTGGCCCAGCCCAACCCCCACCCACCCACACCCTCCAGTGTCTCCTGGCCTCACTCACCCTGGGAGGAGGGGTAGAGGTTGGAGGCTGGGCCACCTCTTGGACCCCTGCCCCCTTTGCCCTGCCTTCCAGAGCTGGAAAGCCTCCACCCACTGCTGGGCCGGGAGGAAGAACCAGGGGTTCCTGGAGGAGGTGGGTATCAGGCTCTGCCAGCCAGAGCGGGAGCCAGGGCCCAGGAGAACTAAATGTCACCCCCGTTGTAGGAAGGAGAAACTACAGAATCAGGAGGGCTCTGATCTGCCTGAGAGGACCTGGGTTTGGACCCCAGGCATGGTGGGAGCTCCCTGAAGAATGGAGGGTCCCCGGGCTCCCAGGCTGCTGGCTTTCCAGTGGGCTGCAGAAATCAGGTTTTACCAGACAAGGCAGCCGTGGGGCTGGACCAAAAAGGCTGAGATCAGAGCAGAGGGCCCCCTAGGCAGTAGGCACAGCCCACAGGCAAAAATGGGAGGGGAGAGTGAGAGTAGGGAGGCTGGAGGGCCTCAAAAGGGAGGTGCCTTCCAGGGTCCCCTATAGGCAGTGGATCCCAACTCAAATGTGCGCGTCTTCCCGAAGCCCCCCCCCCCCCCGTCGCTGCCCCCACCTATCTCTATCTCTCTGCGTCTCTCTCCACAACCCCCATCAAAGCCCTGGTCCCTACAGATGCCCCTTGTCTCCCCTGCAGGTCCTGGAGGCATCTCCGGCCCGGATGGCAGCTCCAGCATCTCTAAGGGTCATGGGGAGTCCAGCCCCACCTTCGGGGGCACCCTAGGCCTCCCACAGCCTACCATCCGTGTACCTGCCCCCCCCATCAGCTGTGGGCCATTCGCCATGGGTGGGTGCTTCTCCAAACCCAAGCCAGGTACCTCCTCTCTTCTTGCCTCATCCTCCCCCCTCCCTCTCCCCCCCCCCCCCCCTCCCTCTCCTTACCCTCCTCCCTCCCTCCCCCCTCCCCTCTCCCTCCCTTCCTCCCTCCCCCCTCCTCCAGCCACCTTCCTCCTCCCCCTCCCCCCTCTGCCTCCGAAGTAGGTCAGGCTGGGCGGCCGGCTGCTCAGAATGTTAATTCCCTGTAGGCAGGAGGGGGTGGGGGGCCTGGAGCCTTCTCTTGGCCCCCCTCCAATGGGTCCCCTTCTTTATCTGGGGCTTTGGGTGCTTCTGGGGGAAATAGCAGCTGAACCTCTCTCAGAAAGTAGAAGTTAGGGTTCCTCCTGCTCCAGGATAGGGCAGGGGGGCCTTCCCCTTAGGGCTGGGGAAGAGGACACCCATAGCTGCTGTGTGACCCAGGGCATGCAAGTTACCTCTCTGAGCCTCAGCTCCCTCTCTACAAAATAAGCCTGACCCATCAAAGTTGCCATGAGGGTGGGGTGGACAGATCACAGCCCTCTTCTGATGCCCTGTGTGACCTTGAACTGAGTTGCCCCATTTGTGCAGGAAATCCTACCCTGCCTGGCCGGAGGGGCTCCGGCCTGAGGTGGGGGCTTCCCAGGTGCTAAGGGAGAAGGCCTGGATGTGCTCTCCACGGAGACTTCTGCCTGTTGGACTCTCTCTCCAGCTCCTATTTTCCCTTTCTCTCTTCACAACACTCAGGAAGGCAAAAGAATGGAGGCCTGTCACAGATGAAGACATGGAAGCCCAGAGAGCCCTCTCTCGTGCCCAGTCAGTGCCCCGCCCACCTGCCACCCAGGCCACCCTGCCCCTGCCAGCTCCCCTTATACCTGATACCCATCGGCTCCATTACCTTGGAACACATGAGCCTTTTCTCCTTTTCCTGGGTCTGAGGGAGAACTTGGGGGCAAGAGGAGACCTTTAATGCCCTGCCAGGCAGAAGGGACGCCCCCACCCCACACCTGTCTCAGGGACCAGCTGTCCCTCCCCCCATGCCCATCCTGTGGGTACCCAGTTCTGGGCCCGATCCTGACACCCTTCCTGGCTCCACGTATGACTTGGGTGAATGATGGCCATTGTCTTGACCTCAGCCCTCCCCCCATCAGAAGTGGGCAGGAAAATGCTAGCTGGTCGGGCAGGAGGCCAAGAGCAGAGGATGCCACCTGCAGCTTCCTTTAAAGGACTTCAACAGGCTGGCCTGCCTGAGACCCCTGGCCCCCAGCTCCCAGGTCAGGAGCTGACAGCTCTCATTGCCCCAGAGGCAGTGGTGAGAACTTAAGTTCTTGAGCCCAAATCCAGCCCTGCCGCTTTCTGGCTGTATAGCCTTGGGCAGGTGACTTCACCTCTCTGAGCCTCTATGTTCTCATGTATAAGTGGAGCTAACAATTTTGCCCCCTCCCCTCCCCGCCCCATGCACACTGTCTTGCTTAGCACAGGGCCTGGCACACAGGAAGGGGTATGTGTAGAACATTATTACCCCTCTTTTTGGAGGTAGGCTCCCTGCTTTTAGGACTCCCCTGTGGGGCTATGGCTATTAGGATGGAGCTTAGACCCCTAGGCACCTACACTGGGCAGGTCAAGGGTGAGGTTCAGAGAATGTCAGCGTGTGTGAGTGGGAGCATTTGGGCCATAAAAGTTCAGCTGGGGTCAAGAGGGTCTACAGGGAGACCAGAGCAAACCAAAGGTCTTTGTGCAAACTCTACCTACCATCTTGCTTGACTCTGGATTGGACCACATCAGCACACATTTCCTGAGCTCGCTCTATACTCCCCATGTTCCATTGGCTCTGGGTCCGTGATAAGAAGTGTTCCGGGCCAGACCCTTGCCAAGCTCAGAACTAGGAAGAAGCACAGCTCTCTTGGCTTCTAGTCGCTTGCCTTTTCTGAGGCCACAAGTGCCACTTAAAGGCTTTCCCTTTGTGCTGTGGCTGCCAGGAGGCTCAGAGCTAACAATACAATGCTATTCCCCAACTTCATCTGTTGAGTTTCTAGTCTGAGTTACATATATTAAATCCTTCAGCATTCCCTATCACCAAGGAGGTAGACACTGTTCTCTCTGTTTTGTAATGAAGGCATCTGAGGTCCAAAGCGGTAAGGCAAGGGTGCATGGTCACATGGGCTCCCGGGAATCATGAGGCTAGGATTGACCTGGCTCTGTGGGTGGGCAGAGACCGCCCCCCCCTTCATCCACCTTTCCACTACTGCCTCTGACTTAATGGATTCCCGTTAGACTGCATTGGCGAGCCCCTTGGAGCCTTCTGGAAAGACGTGGAGGATACAAACAATCTGGCTTGGCTGTTATCTGGGCCCCTGCCAGGCTGTTCCTGTGAGCTTCCTCTCTACAGTTCACATAGCTGGTGTCAGCTGAGTTGGGAGTATTTTCCTTTTTAATTCTTTTCCAAACATTCTAACACCATTACATAAAGTATGGAAAATGGAGGCAAAGAACCCACCCCACCCTCAATCTCCCTCTCCCCCACAACCTGACCCAACAGCTTCAGCATGGTGGTGGGCTCTAGGGTCCTTCCTGCCCAGCTGGAATCATGGAGCAGACCTTCACCCCTGCCCCCTGCTGTGCCTGGGCCAGGCTAAGAGCTGGGACTTGAGGATAAGGGGTGTGGGCCTGCCTTCCCCGGCTGTGGTCCAGGCCAGGGTGGGAGATTAGCCCAGCGTGAGATGAGGAATGGGCAGCCGGAGGACGCAGCAACTGAACTGTCCAGGTGGATGGGCAGGGGTGAGCCAGGGCCGGGAATGATGACAACCCAGGCCAAGGGAATTACATAGGCAGAAGGCCCAGAGGCGTGACTCCGTATTCTCTGTTTCTGGAGTGCCAAGGTCTGGGGTGGAGGGGATGAGAGGTAAAATGGGGATAGGCCTGGAGGCTCTGGTGCCTTGGGAGTTGGGAGAAGCCCCTCCTGCTTCCTCATGGGCCCATGCTGGGCCAGGGGCTTAGCTTCCATCACTCGGCCCAGGAGGCCGGATTATCGCTGCTAAAAATTCTGTTTATTGTTCCCTTCTAATTAGAAAAACACCCCAGGCACATTGTAGGGAATTTAGAAAATGCAGAGAAATATAAAGACGAAAACCAGCTAACTGCCTGCTAGAACGGGTCCCATGGGCACTCTGGGGAAGTGTCTTCTGCATGGAAGCTTCGAGAGGTGGGCCCTGCACACCCTCTGCACCTACCCTTTTCGGGTGGGGTTCACACCCAAGGCCCCAGACCCCTGCACATGAAAACATGGAAAACCCAGGGCTTGGCAAATGATGGGTTCCTACATTGGTGAGCATAACTATTTTAAGAAGTTGAAAATAAATTGTGTACATTTTTTTTAATTAAAAAAAAACCCCTCAAACCTATGGGAAAGTTGCAAACAGACCAACAGACCTTCTGTTTGCCATCACCCAGATTCACTGGCCAGGAAATGAGCCGCACCCAGATTTGGACATCCTGCTCTCACTTGGGTCTGACTCTACACGTGACCTCACCCTTTAGGGACGTCCTCTGCCATCAGGGACCATGCCATTGGAGTCTGAGCAGGGCTCAGGGCACCAGGGTTCTTTCCTCCCACATAGATTCTTGGACAAAAGGCAATGTCAGGGTCAAAGGAGCCCCCTTGTGCCCCCCCACTCATTTGTTACTGAAAAAGAAAACATGCAGAGATGAACTCAAGACAAGCCAGCTTACCCTCCTTCTGCTTCTGTTCTCCTTCTCACCTGTTTTAAGGCTCTCTGAAGCTGGTGCAGGGAGCTTTCTGGAAAGGTGAAGGCACGGGAGGGAACTCACTCAAAGGAGCCAGCCCTGGAGCTGGTGGGGTGGGGAAGGGGGTGGGCCGGGCTGGGGGCTCACTGTGCTGCCCTGCCCACCCACAGTGGAGCTCAAGATCGAGGTGGTGCTGCCCGAGAAGGAGCGGGGCAAGGAGGAGCTGTCAGCCAGCGGGAAGGGCAGCCCCCGGGCCTACCAGGGCAATGGCACAGCCCGCCACTTCCACGCTGAGGAGCGCCTGACCGCCCCTCACCCCTATCCCGGCCCTCAGGACTGTGTGGAGGCCGCTGTCTGCCACGTCAAGGACCTCGAGAATGGCCAGTGGGTGCAGGGCCTGGGGGGAGTGGGGGGCTTCCAGGGGCCCAAGATGGGAAGGCAAGATGCAGGCCATGGAGGGGGTGGGCTGGGAGGCCTGGAAAGGGCCTTCACAGGCGCCCGCACCAGCTCCCACCATCATGGCCTCTCCTGGTCTGGGCCTGCTCCCCAGAAAGCTGGACTCTGGGAAGAGGTGCCCACCCAAAGTGGGGCCTGGTGTGTAGCCTGCGGTCTGAGCGCAGCCTCTCCCTAGGATGCGGGAAGTGGAGCTGGGCTGGGGGAAGGTGCTGTTGGTGAAGGACAACGGGGAGTTCCACGCTCTGGGCCACAAGTGTCCACATTATGGCGCACCCCTGGTGAAAGGTGAGCTGTCCCAGGATACACAGGTGGTAGAACGGGACCTCCCTGAAGGGTGCTCAGGTCCTCCTTGGACCCTCAGGGTCTCATCTATCAGTGGGGTCGCCTGGGCTGTGGGGAAGAGCCAGTGGCTGCTGGGACACAGGGGAGAGGGACTGTTGCTGGTGGCCCCAACCTGGCACCGCCCTCCCCCAGGCGTGCTGTCCCGCGGCCGGGTGCGTTGCCCTTGGCATGGTGCCTGCTTCAACATCAGCACTGGTGACCTGGAGGACTTCCCTGGCCTAGACAGTCTGCACAAATTCCAGGTGGGGCTAGTTGGGCGGTGTGGTGGGAGCCTGGGAGTGCAGGGCAGGGGTTGGAGCACCCCTAAACCTGGTCCTGAGCAACATAGCCCTTGCAGGTGAAGATTGAGAAGGAGAAGGTGTACGTCCGGGCCAGCAAGCAGGTGAGGGTGTGGCTTGGGGCTCAGGCAAAAGGGAGAAGTGAGGATAGCATCTTGACCCAGGGATCAGCATGTGAAAAGGCCCTGTGGCTGGGGAACAGAGTAAAAGGCTACCTGGTGGGGATGAGGCCGGACTGCAGCGGCAGGACCTGGCCTGCTGGGATGATGGCACAGGGAGGATGTCCACAACTCCAGCTCCCAGCTGCCTTCTGCTCTCCGGCTATCCCTAGGCCTTGCAGCTCCAGCGAAGAACTAAGGTGATGGCCAAGTGTATCTCTACAAGTGCTGGCCACAGCAGCAGCACCAACGTGCTCATTGTAGGCGCAGGTTGGTGGTGGGGTTATGAGGGGTGCGGGGTTGGGGGGAGAAGGGGGTCCCTGACCCACAGCACCCTCCCCTCAGGTGCGGCTGGCTTAGTGTGTGCAGAGACCCTGCGGCAAGAGGGGTTCTCAGACAGGATCGTCTTGTGCACCCTGGACCGGCACCTCCCCTATGACCGACCTAAGCTAAGCAAGGTGGGAGGAGGGGCAAATGGGGCCAAGGAAGGGCCCAGTCCCCCAGCCCCCTGGGCACAGTCAGGCCCTCTCAGTGCCCACTGGGCGTCTGGCTGGCTGCCCTCTCTGCTCACAACAGTCCTACATGTGGTACCTCCAAAAAGATGCGGGTTTGTTGAATTCTATCCACAGCCCCTTTGTGAATGGGGCCCAGTCCCACCCTCCCCAGGCCTTGGGTCCTCTGTTGCAAAATGGAACAATGGCCACCTGGCTTTATCTCAAGATAGCTATCTCCTGCAGTCCCTGGACGCCCAGCCAGAGCAGCTGGCCCTGAGGCCCAAGGAGTTTTTCCGAGCCTATGGTATCGAGGTGCTCACTGAGGCCCAGGTATGGGGCCAAGGCTAGGAAATCTGGGGAAGGCTTAGTGGGAACCACCAATGACGTGAGGCCATGAGGGCCCCTGGAAGCTTGTGGGGGGAGTGTCCTGCCCTCTTGGCCCTGCTGTCCAGGCACCCTGGCGCACTCCAGGCCTGGAAAACAGCCCTGAATCTCCTTCCTGGCAGGCTTAGGGGCACATGCAGAGATCTGCTCAGGGTTGGGACGGGAGAGCGTAAGAATGGCTTTGAGGGGAAGGTGTTGTCTGAATTGTAAAGAGGAGAAGCCAGGAGGAAGGATGACCCAGGTGTCAGGAATGGCCCCGGTGGAACCTTCCAGTTGAGAGGGTCTGGCAGGGGCTGGGAGGGGCAGCCTGGTTCAAGTCCACGCCCAGGCCCACCTTCTGCCCAACGTGGGTTGCAGGTGGTCACAGTGGATGTGAGAAACAAGAAGGTTGTGTTCAAGGATGGCTTCAAGCTGGAGTACAGCAAGCTGCTGCTTGCGCCAGGGAGCAGGTGGGAAGGTGTCTCCCCCTTGTCCCCCTGCCGGATGCTTGGCAGGGCACCAGCCGGGATGGGAGGGCTCAGGGTGCCGGCAGCCCCTCACTGATGCTGGCCACGACTCAGCCCTAAGACGCTGAGCTGCAAAGGCAAAGAGGTAGAGAACGTGTTCACCATCCGGACGCCTGAAGATGCCAATCGTGTGGTGAGGCTGGCCCGGGGCCGCAACGCGGTGGTCGTGGGAGCTGGCTTCCTGGGTGAGCAGCCAGGGCTGGTGGGGGCGATGGTCTGTGACGGCTGGTCCCAGGGTGGTACTGGCCCTGGGAGGCATAGGGTGCCAGCCTGCCATCCGCCACCCTGGCCCCAGGGATGGAAGTGGCCGCCTATCTGACCGAAAAAGCCCACTCGGTGTCTGTGGTGGAGCTGGAGGAGACACCCTTCAGGAGATTTTTGGGGGAACGTGTTGGTCGCGCCCTCATGAAGGTGAGCGCACCCCGGCCCCCAGCACCCAACCCCTTGGAACCCCAGGCACCCAGCCCAGCCCCGCCATGTTCTCATTCATGGCCTTGCCCGCCTGCCCTGACAGATGTTTGAGAACAACCGGGTCAAGTTCTACATGCAGACAGAGGTGTCAGAGCTGCGGGCCCAGGAGGGAAAGGTGGGCCCTTCTTCCTGCTCCCCTCTCCCCCACTCACCCTTTCCCAGGAGCTGGGCTGCCCTGCTCACCCGCCTCCTCCCCACAGCTGAAGGAGGTCGTGCTGAAGAGCAGCAAGGTTGTGCGGGCTGACGTCTGTGTTGTGGGCATCGGTGAGTGGGTGGGCAGGCAGGTGCCAGCAAGCACCTGCACGTGCTCCAGAGTGACCATGGGCCCGTCCCTTCCCCTCCCTGAGCCTCGGTCTCCATATCCACAAAATGGCCACTTCGCAGGGCTGTGGTGGGGGGTGTGGACGTCGCTCGTGTAGCCAGGGCTTGGTGTGGAGGACGCGCCCAGTGACCACTGCCCACTGATACCTCCATGGCCTGCCCCATATGGCCTGCAGGACCCAAACAACCCTCTACCTGGGCCCTGCTGCCCTCCAGGTGCCAACCGGGGGAGGGACAGAGCTGGGAGATGGCAGGGTAGGAGCTGGGGAGGTACACCATGCCAACCACGGGGGCGGGGAAGGGGGGGAGCTTCCTGGAGTCTCTCAGAGGAAGTGAGAGCCAGGGCAGTCTGGTGGTGGTGGGGGGTCCATCCAGGGGGACAGGACGCATGAAAGCCACTAGGTGGGCTGCTCTTTGGACTGTTGGTCTGGGGCTGGATTTTGGTGAGGGTGGGTATGGGTCATGGCGATCAAATGAGGCGGGAGAAGGGAAGGACTGGGGAATGGACACGGTGGCCCTGTCCTGTCAGGCGCGGTGCCCGCCACAGGCTTCCTGAGGCAGAGCAGCATCAATCTGGATTCCCGAGGCTTCATCCCTGTTAACAAGGTGGGGCCGGGCGGGGTGGGTAGGGTGCTCACTGGGGGTGGTGGCAGGATCAGGCCAAGGCCCCTGTCCCACCCATAGACCCCCGGCCGGCTCCCCACAGATGATGCAGACCAACGTCCCAGGCGTGTTTGCCGCTGGCGATGCTGTCACTTTCCCCCTGGCCTGGAGGAACAACCGGAAAGTGAATATCCCACACTGGCAGATGGCTCACGCCCAGGGTATGACCCGCCCCGCCCTGCGGCAGGATGGGGGGTGGGAGGCTGTCCCAGGGGCTCAGCCTCCCCCAGGCCCACCCCCCAGTTGTTGGCCTTGGGTCCTGGTCTCTGGATTACCCTTTCAAGGCTCGGGGGTGACCAGTCTGAGCAGCCAGTTGACACAGCAAGCCCTGTGGACATCCATAGATATCCTCTTCATACCTGGTGTGTCTGTTTCATTGTGTGCGCACCAGAAATGGTGGGCAATCCCCCAACCCCAGGAAGCAGACCTTCCAGGTCTGGAGCACTTGGTTCAAATTCTCTAGAGAAGCGATCTGAGTGACTGGCTTTGAGCCAGGTGTCCCCTCTGCACCGATCAGCTGCAACCGGGGGTGGGCAGTGGGCTGAGCAGTGATGCATTACTTGACCTCTGGGGAGGTGAGGAGGAAGAGAAGGAAGGGGAGTAGCCGTACGTGTCAGAGGTCCCCGGAGAGCCAGGGCAGGCAGTGTAGGGGTGGTGAGGGCTAGGGTCGGGGCTCTCACGACCCTGGGTCCTACAGGGCGGGTGGCCGCGCAGAACATGCTGGCGCAGGAGGCGGAGATCAGCACCGTACCCTACCTGTGGACAGCCATGTTTGGCAAGAGCCTGCGCTACGCTGGTAACAGAGGGGCGCGGGGCAGGGGCGGGGCCAAGGGCATTTAGTGGTGTGGCTAAGGTGTTAGCGGAGTGAGGAGGCGGAGCCTGGGGGTTAGGATGGGGCTATGAGCATCCTAGGGGCGTGAGCACGTCCGCCGTAAGAGCGAAAACTGGTTGGGGCCGGCACTGAGGACCACCTACTAGGACAAAGGAGCTGGGTACGGTGGGGGGCTCCAGGGAGCACTTAGGAAAGTACTGGGCGCTGACCTGGGGGAGTCCCATCCCCTCCTGTTCGGCCCACAGGGTACGGAGAAGGCTTCGACGACGTCATCATCCAGGGGGATCTGGAAGAGCTCAAGTTCGTGGCTTTTTACACCAAGTGAGAGCAATGGGGTGGAAGGCGGCGCGAAGCAAAGGTCGGGAAGGTCGGGAAGGGGGAGCTCATCCCAGAGGAGCTCTGCTCCAGTGGAGGGACCTACCTGAAAGGTGGACAGAGGAGGCAGCTAGGCAGGAGACCCTCCAAGGCCAAGTGAGGAGGCTGGGTAGTATTAAGTCCAGCAGCCACGTCTTGAGGCAGGACATTTTATTTTCCGAACAGCTCTTTGAGTAGGGGTTGTGGACTCCCACTTTTACACTGAGGAGAGTCACACAAGTAGAGAGTGGTGATCCCAGGACAGGTGCTCAGCCCTGAACTCCACTGAGGAGGAAGGCTAGAGCCTCCATGGGCCTTTGACAGGATCCCCAAGCCCACGTCGGGCCAAGCAAAGCAAGGAGGGTTGGGTGCTTAGGACAGTCCTGTTACCCTGCATAAGATCCCTCCCTGGGTCCCAGCTGAAGAGGAGTGCATCAAGGTCTCCAAGAAGGAAGGTTATTTCTGGGCAGTCCTCAGGCTCAGTTACTCTGTCCTTGCAGAGGCGATGAGGTGATTGCTGTGGCCAGCATGAATTACGATCCCATCGTGTCCAAGGTAGCTGAGGTGCTAGCCTCCGGCCGTGCCATCCGAAAGCGGGAGGTGGAGTGAGTGTGGGCTTTAGAGGTTTGGTGGGGGGAGGGAGAGGTCCCCCAAGGGACTGGCCCTTGGTAGCCATCCACTCCTGTAGCCCTACAGACTCCTTCCCCTGTTCTTGCTCCACATCAGTCTACGGGGCATCAGGTCTATGGGGTGGTGTGGGACAAGGGTTGTAGTTTACGAATGGGCTGGTTATTTGTGCTCTTGGGGTGATAGAAGGAGGGAAAGAGGCTGTGTCCCAGGGCAGAGCCAGTGCTATGGGAAGGGGGACAAAGCCCTTGGTCAAATCCACTCTTTGGGCAGTCATCTGGCCTTGGACACCCTGGATTTGGCTGTGTTGAGACTGGCAGAAGCTAGGGGTGGGGGGGACAGGCAGCTAGTAATGTTGGGTGGTTGTTTGGTGTCTGGGGGACACTGGATGTCAGCCATTACTCTCACCCCAGGATGGTGGCAATGGGAGTCACCCTGTAGGCTCAAAGCGCCTACAGAGAGGCCCCCCTCCCCCTGCCCAGGGACTGGGGAAAGCTTTGAGGCCACAGGAAAGGAGTAGGCCTCGGGCTGGAAACAATAGAGAACCAAGAAGCAACATGATGAATGACATACTCTCTCCCTCTCCCTGGCCTTCTGTCTCTCTCTCCCTCCCTTGCCTTCGAAAAGGCTGTTTGTGCTGCACAGCAAGTACGTGGTCCTCTGTCCCTCCTGTTGACCATTCTGAGCCTTTCCCACCTCAGCCCAGAGCCTGTACCCCATGGACTTACCCTCTCTGCCTAAGTACCCATTCCTCCTGGGCACCAGGGCCTGGCACAGAGCAGGTCCCCTGCTGTCCTCAGGGATCACCTGTTCATGGTGCCAAGTGGGTAACCTGCTGTCTTCTACCCTGACTCCTCCTCCCCTCATTCCTGCAGGACCGGCGACATGTCCTGGCTCACAGGGAAAGGATCCTGAGCTCGCATGCAGCAGACTTGGGCAGGCACGCTTGGGCACCAGGGACAGAGGCCAAGCCCTGGGGGCAGGTGCCAACCTCCAATTTCCCAGGATCTCCCAGGGCAGAACCTGAGCCTTCCCAGTGCTTGCCTTCGATTGCCTGGCTCACCTCCAGAGAGGCTTCTGCTGCCTCCAGGAGATGCTTATCCCCCAAGGCCTCAGCTGCCACTGAGGGCTGGCAATGGAGGCAGGACAGGCCTATCCTCTTCTCCCTCTCTTGAGACCGGTCCCCTGCAGGACCCTGCAAATTATTAGATATTATCTTAAAATTAAAACGCACACATTTGCAGATCTGTGTGACTTCCATTGTAACTGGGCAGACCTTCATGAGGGAGAAAGCACAACCACACAATGCTCAGTGCGACACGAGTTTGGCCTATGAGCACTCAGGGGAGGTAGCAATTGATTCTGCCCCTGGGGTTAGGGAAAGCTTCTCCAACCAGAGTCTTGAATCTGGATTTTGAAAGAAGAGCGCTCCTGGTAGAAGGGATAGCACATGCCAAGGGTTTGAGATGGGAAGTGCTTCTTCAGAGGTCAGAGACAGCTGACGCTTGGCGGTGTGGGGGCATGTGCCTAGGTAGGGTTGTAGGGGCCGGGTCCTGAGATAGATCCCATGCTTTTCAGGGTAGCCAGAACTCCCCGAATCCCCATTTTCCAGGTAAAGAAAATGAGACTCTGCTATTAAGTAAGAACGAGAATCTAGAGCCTCTCTACCACTCTGCCTCTCAGTCAAGAGGAATGCCGAGAAGGAGAAACGGGGGGCCAGAAGTGGGGGGCGCAGGCAGTAAGGGGATAGTCGGGCTCTCTCCCAGGCTGCTGAAAGCCCGGAACCCTCCACCCAGGATCCCAAGAGCGGCGGACGGTCAAGGCCGAGTTCCGGGCACACAGGGCATGCCGGGAAGTGTGGCCCATCTCCGGGCGGCGTGGGCCTGCCCGGTGACGGGGATGTTCAGTTCGGACGGGGCTGGAGCCTGGATGCCGACTTCAGTGGAAGAGGAAATCTGGCGCGCGTACTTTGTGGGGAACACTTCCCAGAGGGTTACTCACTCCCCGCTTCCCAGAGGTTGCGCTGGCCCGCGGAGCCACGAGGGGCGCTAAGCTTGCCGGGAAGTGCGGCGCTGGCCGGAAGTGCGGCGCGTTCGGCACAGGGCTCGCCGGGAAATGTAGTCCTTCGGGGCGGCCTGGGGCGGTGGCCGCACGTCCCGCGGACCCGGTGGCAGATCGGGCGTGGACCCGGGATGGCTGGGCCGGGGGGCTCGGGAGGCCCGATTGGGGCCGGGGCCCTGGCAGGCAGCGCAAGGTCCAAGGTAGCCCCGAGTGTGGACTTTGACCACAGCTGCTCGGACAGTGTTGAGTACCTGACACTCAACTTCGGGCCCTTCGAGACAGTGCATCGTTGGCGGCGACTCCCGCCCTGCGACGAGTTCGTGGGGGCCCGGTACGGCGGCTTGGGGATGGCGGGGGTGTGTGAGAAGGTCCCGGGGCGGGGTCCAGGGACCGAGGCCGGGGCGTGGTGTCCAGGAGTGGGATCTGGTAATGGGGGGTGGGGAGGAAGTGGTGATGTCCAGGATGATGTCGAGGCCGTAGGGGGGTGTTCTGAGGGAGTCTCGGAGCGGGGTGGCCTGGGGCAGGGTACTAGAGGGTGTTTGTGGGTCTGGAGCTGGGTTCCCAGGTGCTCTGCAGTGCGGCGAGGAGTCCAGAGAGTCCCAGGGCAATGTCAGCGTCCCCGTATACAGGGTCCTGGGGTACTTGTGGAATTTGGGGATCTCTAGCGATCTTGGGCAGTTGGGAGGTGTTACCTGATTTCTGCAGCAGCCTGGGTGTTTAGTTTCATTTGTTGGCTGCCCCCGGGATGGTCCCAGCCTCACTGCCAGCCACCCCTTCTTTCTTTTCCAGGCGCAGCAAGCACACAGTGGTGGCCTATAAAGACGCCATCTATGTATTTGGTGGAGACAATGGGTGAGTGAGCGTGAGCTTTAGGGTGTTTGGACCAGGGAGGGAGAAACATGGTGGTTCTAACTGGGTTAGTTCTAACTGGGTTAGCTAAGTCCTCAGCCTTTGTTTCTCCACATGAGAGACCCTACCCTCAAGGCCCTCTGCACAGCATTCAGTGGGTAGCACATGCTTAGGACACACAAATGTGCCTCTTGTTCTGAGCGAGTGGACAGGACCTTGAAAGAAAGACATCCGCTCTGGCTGCCACCCTCCCCAGACACTTTTCATTCTTTGCCCTTCTCTCTGGGCTTTATCAACATGCCCCACATGGCAGCGTTTAGAGGACAGTGTTATTTATTTTCCCTATTTCGCACTTTTTGTAAAGGTTTTCCCACATTGCTAGAAATTCCTGGGAAACAGCTTTCCTGACAATGACCTGGTGTTCTGTTGTTTGGGACACCTCCACGCCAGAAACTGTTCCCAGTTAGGTTGTGGCTGGTTTCCTTGGGTGAGAGATAATGGCAGAGGCAAACCTTTGGTCTGTGCAGCTGGCTCCCCCAGGTGGCATTCCCCTAAGACCCATTCCCAGAGGGAAAGAACTGTTTTAGCTCTTATCATGGGCTGGGCCCTGTTAAGTACTGGGTGTGGGCATAGCCTACGTGCTTGAAGAGGAGAAGAGGGCCTGGTCTGGGCTGGGAAACTTTCCTGGAGGGGTTGATGACCTGAAAGATAAGTCGGAGTGAATCGGGTAAAAGAGGACGAGTGTTCTAAGCAGAGGGATCAGCATGGGCAATGGCCCGGGGTTGGGGAATGCAGAATGGCACCAGGCCTGGAGTCTGGGCAGGGCTTCCCTCCCCCACATTCATTCTTTGATGTGGTCAGGAAAGGCGGGGGATGCCCACCAGGGCTCTGGGAGGCTCGGGAGCCTGCTAGATGTGGGGTTGAGGCTTGAACTTTGGTCTCCTGGATAGACCCAGCTCAGTTTAAGTCAGAGCTTTGTGACTTTGGGTCCGGGTAGGTGGCTTAACAGCATTAACTGCACCGTGGTCTTCTCCTCTATATAAGGGGCGGCCATACACCCTGCTTTTGCAGCGTGCTCCTGGGGGTCAGTGAGCACCAAGCTGGGAAGGGCTCGGGATGGAAGTTGTTCTGCGGGTATAGTGTTTGCACATGACCTGTTCTACTCATGAGTCCATCCCTTCCCTTCAACTATAGGACTTCGTCTGAAGCCCAGAAGGGCTGGCCTCTGATTGGTTCTGCAGCCTTGGTTTTTCAGGACTCCCTGGGGGGGGTGACTTGGCGCTGGTGGGGTTCACAGGACCCCATGAGGACCTGCAGACCAGGCAGAATGGCCCTGGCTTCCAGGCTGTCTCCCCCATAGCCTCTTCCTCATGAGCAGTCAGAGGGATCTGCAAATGCAAGTCTCATTGTGTTCCTCCTCAGCCCATAGCCCCGGGATGGCTCCCCTTCCTCTGACTAGGAGCCTGAGCTGTCCTGGCTGTCAACAAGGCCCTATATACTTGTGCCTGCCCTGCTCCTCTGCCCTTGTTTTGCACGGTGCTGGGCCACACCACTGCCTCGCTGTGTTCTGAGTGAACCAAGCATCTCCTGCTTGGACCCTTGTACTGGTGGTTCTTTCCTTCCCGCCCTTCCCACCTCTCTTCAGAGTATGCTGTGAGTGAGGCCTTCCCCACCGCCTGGGCCAGCTGTTGGCCCTCCCTCCCCTTCTGCACCTCTTGCTGGCTCCATGGTAAGAGCACAGATCGCACGGGATCATCTCAGTGTTATCTCAGAGCACACAACTCTGTCCTCCACCAGGTCGGGACCTGTACCCAGTACACGGACAATTCAGTAAATGTGTGTCCCATGAAGGAATGAAAGAGGAAGAGGCATCTGCTCAGAGATGTTCACTGCAGGCTTAATGACAACCCCCAGACTGGAAAAGGTGGGGGGTTTCAGCCCAGGGCAGTAGTGGGGAGCATCCCTAGGAGTGTTCTGTAGCAGGTAGTGTTGTCATGGCAACTGTGTAGCAATGAGCAGAAAGTCTCGCTACAATGTGGCACCAAGAAACAGGGTACAGATTTGTCTCACTCTGCGTGCAACTTTGCAAAGATGGACTGGGTGCAAAGATGGACTGGGTACAAAAAAGATGGCTTCCTGCAGTGTCCGATAGGGGGAGGGGGGAGAAAGGGAGGGGGAGGAGGGGTAGATGGGAGAGGGGAGAAATTATAGTCACATCTCTGCTTCCCGGCTCCTGGCTTCCTGACTGCATGGCCTTAGACAGACCCTTTATTTCCCAGGCCACTTCCTCTTCTGTAAATGAAGGTGGGGAGCGCAGCCCCCTGCTACAGACTGAGGGAGGGGTGCAGGGGGGATCCTGTACAGGCCTGGCCTGCAAGGGGTGCCAGGCCCCTGTCAATTGACTCCCTTTTTCTTTCTTACTGACACGGGTGCGGTGGTAACATTGCAGGTCCTGGTACATGGCCAGTGGATTTGTTTCCTGTTTTATTGTATCTTGAATGTAGTTACATTGGCTTTGCAATAAAGAGGAGGAAGGAAGATTAGAGAGGAGCAAAGGGGCCTCCCCGGAGATGTGGGAAGCTCTGCCTTGTGGCACAACCTCAGAGAAGGGGGCGCTGAGACTTGGGAGTGAGAGTAGGGGGTCCTGGAGCCCGCCGTGAGGTGTGAGCCCTCAAGCAGTCAGGATCATGCTTTCGACCCGACCCCAGGCAGGCAGGTCCCATGTGTGTCACCGCCCTGGTACCTGCACCAGTGAGGGCGCGCCCTTTGTGGTCACTCCCTGGTCCCTCAGGCATCAGCTGGTTGCCTGACCCTGGCTGAGTTCCCACGATGGCCGCACCCCCACCACCCGGGCTGCAGTGTCCATCTCCTGGGTCCTGGAGAGCAGACTGGGACCAGCACAGGACCGACCCCAACCTGTGCCTGGCTGTCTTTCAGGAAAACCATGCTCAATGACCTCCTGCGATTTGATGTGAAGGACTGCTCCTGGTGCAGGTGGGTGGCCTTGGAGCCCCAGCCCCCCTTTCCCCAGAACTCCGTAGCCCTGTGCTGGCCCCGACGACTAGCAGACTCATGCTGGGGAAGGCTAGAGACAAGCTTCAGGGAGGAGATAACAGTGGCCTTTAGTGTTCCCCTCTGTCTCTTGGGTTCCTTTCCCAGTCTGCAACTCAGATTGATTGTTCTGAATCGCAATCACGGGGTTCTGTTGGATTGGTTCCTGGTCCTCGCGTTGTGCCTCCAGAGAGCCCTGCAGTCACCGGGCCTTCTCCTGGGCGGGGAGCTGCTGTGGGATTTGACACTGGGAGTTGGGGGAGGAGGCATCGGCTGTTGGGTCCTTCCAGGACCGACCCTGTGCTGCAGTGGGGTGCTGCCCAGGGGCTGGCAGTCGGCGAGGGGCCTTTGTGGGGCCCCTCCTCTGCCCGGAGACCCTACATGGGTAGTGGGCTGAATGCAAGCCCTGGCCGCCTCCGCCAGACGGCCCTCCCAGCTGTGTGGGCTTGGGCAAGGCATTGCCTTCTCTGAGCACAGCAGATCTGTACCCGTCTGTTCCAGTCTCCAGCCCTGCCCAGGGGGCAGCTCTCAGCTGAGTGGGAGAAAGGGATCCCAGGATTCGGAGGTACGGGGCTGGCCGGGCACTCCTGCTCCTGAGCTCCACCATCGGCCTGTGCGGGAGGAGCACAGAACCTCCGAGTCACCTGGGTGCCCCACTGTGGGCAGCTCCGTGTGCCTCTGCCAGTCCCTCTGTGGCAGGGTCTCACCGCCCCCTTTGGATGGAGGTGGATGTCCAGGCCCAGGGTGGCATCACTGATCGCTGGGATTGCTATAGAAGTTTATATCTTGTTCCTCTCGCCCTGGCTTTCATAACATAGCCGATAGTTACAGATTAATTTTAAGAATCACTCTCAAGACTACAATCCTTCACTAATAATTGCTTAAGGATAACACTCTGAAAAGGAGCAGCCCCAGGAAAGAGGTAGAAATGGGGTTTTAGTTCAATAAGGAATGTGTGTGGTCAGTGGCTGCTGGAGTGGGGACATGGCGCCACCAAGGGCGCCTAGATGCAGCTGAGGGCCGAGTTGCTCTCTGCTGTTGAGTCCAAAAAGCAGATGTTACAAAATACCCACCCCGTGACTCCATTGACAAAACCCCTCAGAGGCATTAACAAGCATAGAAAAGGTGTGTGTGTGTGTGTGTGTGTGTGTGTGTGTGTGTGTGTGTGTGTGTGT